GTGTGTGTGTGTGTGTGTGTGTGTGTGTGTGTGTGTGTGTGTACAGTACACAGAGGCAGTGCCATGCCACAACTGTAGATTCTGGAACCAGAAAACTTGGCTTTGAATACATTAGCTCTGAGCCTTTGCTTCCTGCTCTCTGAAACAGACACATCAGTCCACCCCTCCTCGGGTGGGGGTGAGGACTGACTGACTGAGAACACAGACTGAGCTCAGGACTCTGGGCAAACGCTGAACAAGTGCTGTCAGCATCAAGGGCACCGTGATCACCGCCAGCCTCACCGGCGTCATAGTTACTAGAGTCACAGACCCAGGCTCTAGTCCCCGCTCAGCATCTCAAGAGCTGGGTATCTCTGGGCCTCCTCCAGTGCAGAGACAACATTCCCAGCCTCACAGGGCTGTGGGGAGGGTTACCAGAAGCTTTGGGCTAATGGCTGGAGCCCCCCCTCAAGAGGAGGTGGTCACCGATTTTATTATAATGATTACTAACCTAAAACTACGCACCTGTAACATCTGACCTCCCTGAACCCAGAGGCTGAGCACTGAGCCTGCGCCAGGTAAACCTTATGATCACCACCATTGACGTCCTCATTTTCCAGATAGGAAAACCGAGGAAAAAGAGGCTAAAGTTATTGCTGGGTACGTGCCACTGAGATGGCTCAGGATGTCAAAAGGCTCTCCACAGGAGCCTAAGGACCTGAGGTAAATTACCAGATCCCATTATGGAAACAGAGAATCAACTCCACAAAAATGGCCCTGTTCCCTCTCCTCTCCTCTCCTCTCCTCTCCTCTCCTCTCCTCTCCTCTCCTCCCTGTCCCCCACAATACCCACACAAACAGTAAAAAAATTGGGGGGTTGAGGATTTAGCTCAGTGGTAGAGCGATTGCCTAGCAAGTGCAAGGCCCTGGGTTCAGAGGGGGGAAAATGTAAGTGGGCACTATGGTACATACTTGCAATCTCAATACTTGAGTAGCTGAGGCAGGAGGATCTTGAGTTCAAGGACAGTCGTGGTTACAAAGCAAGGCTGACACAAAATGCACAGAGAGGTCACTCCTACGGGCCCATTTAGCCATGCTGGCCCTTAAATCTACACTCACCCTAAGTTTGGCCCAGAAAACGCCTCTTTCTCCCCACCCTCTCAGAACCCCCTCCTAGGAACTGCAGTCCTATGTTCTCTCCTGTCGCTGTCCCACGGTCTCCTCCAGCTGAGGTGACACCCCCTCCCCCATCGGCCTCAGCCCCCAGCCAGAACTCAGCGATATCTGAGAGGCGCTGGCCCAGCAGCCCACGGATTCCTCCAGCCTTTGAGGGGATTGCCGGCATCTTCCACTCTCTGTTGCCCAGAGCAAGTGTCAGCCACCCCCACGGGGGGGGGGGGCAGCCAGGGGCAGCACTAGGAGCCCTGATGGCAGTGACCCCACCTCTACCCCAAGAAGGGGCGGAGTCCACAGGCCCAGTCACGGAAATGCTGGCCAGCTGGACCACAAGCCTCACCCCTGGCCAGCCTGCATCTCTCCCATGCACAGCCCCACACACCAAGCCCTAGGCTACAGAGAGGGGCAAAATAGAAGGGGTCCATCATATCTGGGTTGCCCGGCACTGGACTGATCCTTCTTCCCAGACCACAGGACCAGAGGTAAGGAAGGTGGAAGAAAACCTTCATGGGGACCTGGTCCCACTCCATGCTGCCTCTTTCTGCGTACTAGTGAAGTCAACCGTCCTAGTGACCTCGACCGTTTGAAATACTTGTCTTCTATTTGATAGAGACCCCAGCTTGACTGGAGAGCAGTTATGGCTCAATATGGTTCACGCCATGGCAACAATGAGGAAGCTAGGATATATAATGTAGGTCTGTCTGCTGCTATAGATCAGCTCCCCTCAAAACACAGCCTGTAGGGTTGGGAAGGTAGCTGCTACATGTGTCTACTACATGAGTATGATGGCCTGAGTTAGAATCCCCAGAACCCGTGAGAAAAGACAGTGTGATCACTCAGATCTGTAACCCTAAAATGGGGTGGGGGTGGAGTCCAGATGGGCAGAGACAGGCAGATCCCAGGAGCTCACTGGCCAGCCAGTCTGCCAATCAATCAGAGACCCTGTCTCAGAATATAGGTGGAGAGTGAACAAGGAAACCCTTCCACATCAACCTCCAATCTCCACACACATGTGCATATATATGACGTATGTACACCCACACATACATACACATATACTACACACATATGTGAGTGAACGTGCACACAGGCATCCATGACACATATAAACAAGGTGGATGGCACCTGAGGCTGATCTATGATCTTCTCACTCTCATGCACATGTGTGCACCTGCACTCACGGGAACAGGTGGGCATGAGTGTGCTCATGCAACCCCATGCACGCACACCACACAAATACAGCCTACAAGTCAGGCATGGTCCACACCTGTAATCATGGCACTTAGGAACCTGAGGCAGGAGGGTTGCTGGAAGTCCTAGGCCAGTCTGGGTGACAGAGTGAGTCTCAGAAACAAACCGACACTGTCCCTGAACCAGTGACAGCAGCAGCGTGTGGACTTATTGAAAACGAGTTCCCAGGCTATGTTCCAGACTTTGCGGGGTCACATTCTCTAGGGCTGGGGCCAGGAACCCATTTTAAGAAAGTCCTGCTGATGGTTAAGAATAAAATGTTGACACTCACTGAGGGAAATCATATAAAATCACCATTTAAGGAGGTGGCCATGGAAGGTAGAAAACTCTTTTGGGGGGTGGGTGGTTCTCTGTATAACCCTGGCTGTCCTGGAACTCACTCTGTAGACCAGGCTGGCCTCAAACTCACAGAGATCCACCTGCCTCTGCCTCCCGAATGCTGGGATTAAAGGTGTGCACCGCCCAGTGAAAACTTTTCAAAGTTAGATTTGTTTGTTTTATTATGTATGTTTTGCCTGCATGTATATATGTGGACCACATGAATGTCTGGTGCCCGAGAAGTCAGAAGAGGGCATTGATCCCCCAAAACTGGAGTTATGGGTGGTTAGCAACCACCACGTGAGTGCTGGGAATTGAACCCAGGTCCTCTGCAAAAGCAGCAACTCCTTGTAACTGGTGAGCCATCTCTCCAGCCCCTACTGTTTGTTGTCTTGAGACAGTCTTGCTCCCCTACTGTTTGTTGTCTTGAGACAGTCTTGCTACAGAGCCCAGACTGCCCTGGCACTCACTAAGTAGGCCTGGCTCTCTTTGAACTTGCAAAGATCCTGTGTTTCCGCTTTCCTGAATGCTGGAATATGGTGTCCACCGCCACAAGGCCTGACTACAGAGATCTAGACACCAACACGTTGATACAGCTATCCCTAAAATGAACAAACCTCTCAAACGAGAAAGACAGGAACTGTACATGCCCCATGTATTTCCTACGTAAGAGTCAGGAAGCTCCTCAGACAGCTTACTTACCACCAGGTTGCCGATGACCATGACCATGAGGAAGACGGTGAGGCACATGGCCTGGCCGGCCACCTCCATGCAGTCCCACATGGTCTCAATCCACTCCCCACAGAGGATGCGGAAGACGATGAGGAAGGAGTGGAAGAAGTCATGCATGTGCCAGCGGGGCAGGCTGCAGTCCGAGGCAATCTTGCACACACATTCCTTATAGCTCTTGCCAAACAGCTGCATGCCCACCACCGCGAAGATGAAGACGATGATGGCCAGCACCAGTGTCAGGTTGCCCAGCGCACCCACTGAGTTGCCAATGATCTTGATGAGCATGTTAAGTGTTGGCCAGGACTTGGCCAGCTTGAAGACACGCAGCTGCCAGGCAGAGGGAACACAAGAACGACTGAGGCTTGGGGACCACCAGCCACGCCCAGGGAGCCCCAGGAGAAAGCTCCATGTCCAACAGTCTTAACCCCCATCCTCCTGATGAACAAGGCTTCACTCCGCCTCTCTGTTAATGGAGTGCTTGAGTCCTAAAGCTTCCTGATACCCATGTTAAAATGGGAAAAGAAAATGGCCTTATCCATTGAAGATACAGTCTAAAGTATTTACAAGTAAGAGTGTATACCAGAATTTGCTCTAACATATGATCCCCCAATAAAAATAGATGGGATAGATGAAAAAAAAAAAAAGACTTGTAGCATGTATGGCTGGGAGATGGCTTAGCAGTTAGGGGCACTTCATCGGTTTTCCAGAGAGTCCGAGTTCAGCTCCCAGCCCCCACAGTCGGCGGTTCATAACCACCTGTAACTCCAGCTCCAGGGGATCCTACATCCTCTTCCAGCCTCTACAAGCACCCGTAGAAAAGACGTGTGGCGTATGGATACACATATGAATTTTTAAAAAGTAATGGTAAAGTTACACTGTGCTAGTGGCTGTAGTGCCGGGTGATAGCAATAATCCTCATGATAAAGTAAAAAAAAAAAAAGGGGGGGGGAGTGAACTTCAAGGGG